AGAGAGAGAGAGAGAGAGAGAGAGAGAGAGAGAGAGAGAGAGAGAGTGTTGCTATGATCTCTTTGACTTGAGTTAACATTTTAATACATATATTCACACTGATACCACCTCAATTTTTTTTTTTTTGAAGAACAATCATGGTGAAGATTGAAGTTCACAATCAGGTTTTGATCATTAATTCCGCTTTCTTATTTATTTAATTTTATTATTTATTTATGTTTGTACCACTGTGAGTGTATGTGCAATTGTGTGCAGACACCAACAAAGGTCAGAAGAGGGCATTGAATCCTCTAAAGCTGGAGTTAGAGGCGGTACAAATATGGAGGCTCACAACAGAACCCAGAGAGAGCAGCAAGCTCTCTCAAATGCTGAGCCACCAACAGTCAGCTGGGTAGCTGGGTAGAGGCGTGCGAATTGAAGAGACAATGAAGAAGACAGAAGAGTCAAGAGGTCTGCCAGTCAATGCCAGACAGCCCCAAGTTTATTTCACAGCCAGCTTATACAGTTTTGAAGGACAGAGGTAGAACAATGCACAACACAGGCATTCAGCCACTATCTATCCTGCCTTGTGTCAAGGAGCAGGGAGTTTCATTTTCTATCTCAATGTACCTATGGCTGGCATCAGCAGCCTACATCTAGCTAGATAGTGTGTTCCTTCTTGTGGGATAATCAGGACTTTCTCACAGCCCTTCAAGGAGACTCTGTGGGCTAATCAGAACTTTCTCACAGCCTTGGAGCAAACAAGCTTGAACTCTAATGACTCAGAATAGAATTCAAATTGGGAAACTGAGTCAGTTGTGGGCTCCCACACATCCCCATCATTTTGAATCCTGGAATTTTGCTAAATTTACTAATTAATTCTCACAGGTGTGTATGTGTCTGTCTGTCTGGCTATCTGCCTGTCTATGTCTGTGTCTGTATGTGTTATTGGTGCATTTAGGACCTTTTCATCTGAGAATAGTGATATTTTTACTTGTTTCCTGAAATTCTGGCTGGCTTTCTCTCCCCCCCCCCCTCCAATGGCTCAAAACTAGAGTTTCTCCGCTGTATTCAATAATAATGGCAACATGGGCATCTTTACCCTGTTTCTGACCTAAGGAAGAGTCTTCACTCTCATTGATGCTTAACTGTAGGTTTTTCACATATAGTTTTTTATTATGTTGTGGTTGTTTTCTGCTATTCCCAGATTTTCAAGTGTTTTTATCATTCAAGAGCACTGCATTTTGTCAAAAGCTTTTCTGTATCATGGAAATGATCATTGAAATGACCAAGTCTTTCCTTCATTCCTTTCTTTTTCCCTTTTCTTTCTTTCTTCCTTTTTTATTTATTTATTTGGTCCTTCATCGTGTTAAAGCAATGTGTAGTTTTTTTTTAGATGCTGAACCATCCTTGCATTATAGATATGAATTTCCTTTGTTTTGGTATACAGTCCTCTTACTATGTTCTTCAGTTTTGCCTCCTGGTATTTTTCTTAGGTTTCTGCATCAATATTCAGCAGCAGTTTGGTTTTCTTGTTGCACCATGACATGGTTTTAGTATCAGGTTAGCTTGACACCCCACAGGACATTTTGACATTCTCTCCTCTTAAATTCCTCTATCGAGTTCGTAAAGATTGTCAATAATTTCCTATTAATTCTTCTTCAAGTGCTTGGTAGAGTCCTCCAGTCCTGGGTTTTTCTTTACTGTGAGATTTCTGATTTGGCCTCAAACTCCTCCCTAGTTACAGGACATCCCAGGTTTATCTCTTTATGATTCAGTCCTAACAGCTTGTGTGTTTCGAAGAACTTGAGCCATTTCTTCTCGGTTATACAATCTGTTGTCAGTTGCTTACAGCATTCTCTATTTTATTTCTGTGACATCCAT